TTTTATGTTAATGATTACTCATTTATTTCAGCCCTTTGTATTCATGTCTCTATTGGAAAAAAAAACCTACGTTTCTATGAAAATTGAAGCTTCTGTTTTTTGCAGCCACATCAGCTTACACCTTTTTATTTGGTCTGTGTTAGCCTTTGAGTCTGACAGGCTTGTACTAGGGAGTAGGTTCTTGATGGTTAGCCTCGGGTGGATTTTTACAAACCTGTTATGACTGCGCACTTAAACCCTGTGACTGTTAACATTTGTAACTAAAACCTTAGAAGGTGGATAAGGTTAATAGGTAGCTGAAGGAGGTCTAAAGCTAATCCTTTTAGTTCCTTGCTTTTTGGGTTCTCTTCTGTTTCTACCCAAGGAGGGGATTCATGGAAAGATCTAAACTAGTAATCAGCTCTTTCCAGCTATGAGGCCTAGAGCAAATCCCTATCTGCTGTTTCTCTATTTTGAGTCTATAAAATGGGATAGTAATTCCTGCACTGCTTGCTGTGTCAGGAATGTTGTGTGTGTGTGTGTGTTGGGGGAGGGAGGGGGAGGAGGGAGAGGAGGGAGGGAAGGGAGGAGGGAGAAAGGCCCTCTCCCCCTTTCATGTAAATGTTCCTTCATTCCAGAATCCCTTCTCAGCTTGTCCAGCTATTCCTCCGAGGTCTACTGAGCGAGTTCTTCCCGAAGGCCTCCATTTGGAACTGTTCTCGCTCTCGCTTCCAGGAGGCCTCCGGCAGTCTGTCTGTTCATAGCACTTTGAAGTCGGAGCTGCACTTCAGGTGTTGCATGTTGCCTGTCTTCATAGACATAAGGCAGTGATGGTCCTTTTCCTGTTTCCTGTGTCCACATTGCACCTGCTGTCTCCTGACTGACTACAGTAAATGCAGTTTGATTTATTTTTGAGGCTGCCAGGAATGAATGCTTTTGGTGATGGGAAGATGCCAAAGAGGGGCATCTTACAAAAGCTTTGGATGACTGGTCTTTTAAGTTGTTACTTACCCGTCTGTTTTATCAGTAACTGAATCAGATGCTAATAATACAAATTGGTAAAGCCTGTGGGGTTTATTGTTTTGTTTTTGTTTTGTTTTGTTCTCTTCAAAACACTGTTTGTGAAACAAGCCAGGAATGAAAGCTTGTCACAACAGCCCTGAATCTGACATTTGTTCTGTTTCTCACCCTATGGCATGTGGAGGCCTATCTGTGGCCAGCTGCTGAGCGTGGCATGAGAATAAAGACTGACTGCGTTGTCTGGCCCACATTTCAGCTTGTTTGCTTTGAAGAATTTTTGAGGTGGAGAAATGGATGCTTCAGGCTCTGATTTCAGCCCCTGCTGTGCTATGCAAATGTTCTCTACATGCCTGGCTGACCTTTTGAGAAAGAGCCTTTGTGATCTTCTGTAGCCAGGCCTGTTCTGGGAAGAGTGTGCCAGATTCCTCTAAAAGTGGGAAAAGTGAATCTGTTCAGAGACCACAGAAAGAGGCCATTGCTTTTCCGATGAGCCCGTGCTTCTTATTGTCTCTTGTCAGAGCTCTTGAAATTGCTTTGATGGTTGATTGGGGAATGATGTGTGTGAGAGGGTACTGACTGAAGCAGTTCGGAAGCTGGGAAACTGTTTGCTTAAGTGATTTGGAATTGTAGGTAAATTCAAACTGGCATCATTAGTATCTGGTGTTCATCACTGTCTTCAGGCTGACTCTCCCAAGTGCCAGCTGAGTGACTCAAACAGATTTGTAAGGTTCTTTTTGTCCCAAAATTTGCTTTAATGGATTGGCATTTAAATTATTTTCTACTAGTGACCCGGTGCACGAAATTCATGCACATTAAAAGGGGATTAATTTGCCAAAACCGGTTTGGCTCAGTGGATAGAGCGTCGATCTGCGGACTGAAAGGTCCCAGGTTCGATTCTGGTCAAGGGCATGTACATTGGCTGTGGGCACATCTCTCCTAGGGGGTGTGCAGGAGGCAGCTGGTTGATATTTCTAGCTCTCTATCCCTCTCCCTTCCTCTCTGTAAAAAATCAATAAAATATATTTTAAAAAAGGGGGGGATTAATTAGAGGAAATAATTTAATATTGCTATTTGCCCTTTCTCTATAATAGAACTGTCAGAGATGAAAAAAAAAATTGGTAAAATGTATATGAAAACCTTCCTCCTGTCAGAGTCTGGGGTGCACCATGGGACCCAGAGTCAAGTCCCCACCCACCCACCCACATGGGCCTCAAAATTGCGTGAGACCCAGACCTGGCCGGGGCCCCCACACCCACCCCCCATTTGACTAGATCCAGATCCGACCAGTCCCATTCTTGTCAAGCCCCGCTGGGCAGGAGGAGTAGCCTCAGGTTCCCTGGTCCAGTGCCACGATGGGGGGTGTGGCCTGAGGTCCCCCAGCCCATACCAGGTGGGGTATGCATTAATGTCCCCTGTCAAGCCCTGCCAGGCAGGGGGTGCAGCCTCAGGTCCCCTGTCAAGCCCCCCTGAGTTCCCCTGACCCAGCAGTGAGGATGCACCTTGAGGTCCCCTGTCAAGCCCCACCTAGGGGGGGCACGGCCTGAGTCCCCCTGTCCCAGCACTGGAGGTGCACCTTGAGGTCCCCTGTCAAGCCCTGCCAGGCAGGGGGTGCAGCCTCAGGTCCCCTGGCCTGGTGCTGGGGTAGGGGGCATGGCCATAGGTCCCCGTCAAGCCCCTTGGATGGGGGTGCAGTCTGAAGTCCCCCGACCTGGTGCTGGAGTGGGGGCGCGGCCTAAAGTCCCCTGTCAAGCCCCATGGGGGCGGGGAGAGGTAGCCTCAGGCCCCTGCTGAATGCTCGTTAAGGCTCCTTATGGGAACTTGGCCTCAGCTGTGGGTGCAGCCATCTTTGTGACAGAGTGATGGTCAATTAGCATATTCCCTCTATTACATAGGATTTGTTTTGATTACTGTATAAATGAAACGTATCAATATTAAAAGTATACTTAGTTTTTTTATGTTATGAAATACCATTCTGATGGATTTCTCTTGCAAAGTGAGACTGGTATCTTGGAGGTCTAAGGTTTTTAATGCTTTTACTGAGATGTTTAGTTTGTACAGCTGAAATGCTGATAAAAAAGAGATTTTCTCCCCCCTCTACCTTTCTCTTAAACAACCTTTTTGGTAAGGATCATGATAGGTTTGTACAAGGATAAGGTTGTAGTTAATCATAATGTTCTTCCATAGAAATTCTAAAAATTGAATTTCCAGAGAAGATAGGAAGAATTTGACTAATTTACTTCCTAGGCTCTTCCTTGTTCCCTGAGTATAGGATAATTCTTTCTCTGTAGAGATTAGGTGCATGTTGTGGGAAGGATAGAGCTCCCATAGAATGCTCTAAGACAGCAATTTTCAACCTTTTTCATCTCATGGCACACAAACTAATTACAAAAATTCTCTGGAACACCAAATTTTATAGGTCAAATCTCGGTTCTCTAATGTCTCCCATCTCAAACAGTTCACTTCTCGATGAAGATGTTCATGTAAAACTTTGCTTCTCACCCTATCTGGTTTGGCTCAATGGATAGAGCATCAGCCTGTGGACTGAAGGATCCCAGGTTCGATTCCTGGTCAGGGCACATGCCTGGGTTATGGACAATCCCCAGTAGGGGGCATGCAGGAGGCAGCCAATCAATGGTTCTTATCATTGATGTTTTTTTCTTCTTTTTAGAAAATATATTTTATTGATTTTTTACAGAGAGGAAGGGAAACATCGATGAGAAACTAATTTATTTCCAATAAACTAATAAACTGGGGATGTGCCCACAACCAACGTACATGTTTTTGACTGCAATCGAACCTGGTACCTTTCAGTCCCCAGGTCAACGCTCTATCCACTGAGCCAAACTGGTTAGGCCTCATCATTGATGTTTCTCTCTCTCTCTTCTCTCTTCCTCTCTGAAATCAATAAAAATACATATTAAAGAAACAGCAACTTTGGTTCTCTATCTAAAAACTCTTTCATGCTGATACCTGTATGATCAGACACATGTCTCTCAGGTGACAAAGGAGAGAATGTGTGTGTGAGTCAGTTTACCACTAAATCGCCTGTTGTTAACATCCCAGGAAATTGTGCTGTGAAGATTTTTGTGTTTTTCTGCTTTTGGGGGTCTGGAATGGATTAATTCAATTTACGTTATTTCTAATGGGGGAAAAATGATTTAGTTTTCCAATGAATTACTCCTCGAACAGCCTTAGGGAACAAATTAAGTTAAAAGAACCAAGATTCCACTGTATATTTTTTGCCGATCTGACAAAAAATAGGTATAATTTAAAAATAAATATTTTTATTGATTTTAGAGAGAAAAAAGGAAAGGGAGAGAGAAACATCAATTGGCTGCATGCCCCTTACTGGGGATTGAGCCAGTAACCTGGGCATGTGCTCTGACCAGAAATCAAACTGGGATCCCCTGGTTCATAGGAATCGAACTGTATCTCTTGGTTCGCTGGTTGAGGCTCAACGATTGAGCAACACCGGCCAGACAAAATAAGTATAATTTTGATTCATTCGCACTGGATGGCTATTGTGCTGTTGTCATTTTTTAATTTGGCAATCTGAAGGAAAAGAGGTCAGTGCCCTTGACTAAAGAGTCAGGTATTGCATATATATTTGTTAATCCTCACCTAAAGATAATTTTCCCCATTGATTTTCTCTCTTTTAGAGTGGTAGGGAAGGGAGGGGGAGAGAGATCAATTGGTTGCCTCCCACACGAGCTCTGACCAAGGCTGGGGATTGAATCTGTAACCCTTTGGTCCAAAAACTGACTCTCTAACCACTGAGCAACCAGCCAGGGCAATATTGCATATTTTAAAAATTCTTGTAGCACCCTGATTGAAAATCGCTGCTCTAGAGGAACGCTTTCTAGATCTTTGCTCTGTAGCAGGTTTTAATGGAGCAAAGATGAGTAGTTTTCCCATGTTTCCGCCTGCTCTGTGAAGTGGGAAAATCTTTCCTCTCTGTTTTCATGGTTACATGTGCTGTCTTGTCTTTTCTCCTCCCCAAGTTTCCCTGGACCCTGGGCTCCCCAGACGCAGCGCTGGAGCAGATGGATAATGGAGACTGGGGCTATATGGTGAGATGCTTTTGCAGATGCATTTTGAAGACTGTCAAATTATTTTTGTACTAGATGCCTGGTGCACGAATTTGTGCACGGGTGGGGTCTGGCTGGCCCATCCTGATCTGGGTGTGTGGTGGGCGGCGATTGGAGGTGGAGCCAGCCAGGGGGAGGGGCCATGTTAAATTCCCAGTTGAACTCCTGGTTGAACTCCAGTCGAGGGGATAATTTGCTTGTTAGCCTTTTATTATATAGGATTTGAAAAATATATATATTTTATTGATTTTTCACAGAGAGGAAGAGAGAGGGATAGAGAACTAGAAACATCAATGAGAGAGAATCATCAATAAGCTGCCTCCTGCACACCCCCTACTGGGGATGTGCCCACAACCAATGTATTATACATACCCTTGACTGGAATCGAACCTGGGACCTTTCAGTCCACAGATCGACACTCTATCACTGAGCCAAACCGGTTTTGGCTATATAGGATGTTTTATAGGATGTCTTCCCCCCCTATGTATTCTTAGGTATTATACATCTTGTAAGAATGAAAATTATTGGTGTAACTCCCCTTAATTAATTTAGGTGCCTTTTGTAGTGTTTGGTGTTTTTATGAAAGCAAACTCAACATAGACTTCAGAGTAACTTGATTTGAGAGAGTGCATGACTTTTGGTCTTTAAAGTTTATTGCCATTAAAATACTCTTCCTTTATAGAACAGCGACTATGAAAAGGGTCCAGTGGGGAATGGTACAGAGCACATTTCCTTGTAGTGGGGGAGGTTAACCATTGAGAAGGGGCCACTTTTCCCACTCGTACTTTCCTTGTGTGTGTTTATCTTCCTCTTTTCCTTCGGTGAGAAATACTTTACTTGTCTAGTACCCGAAGTCTGTCAGTCTGTCTTTATAGTGTTTCTTAATATGATTTCTAAAACTGAAGGTATATGTTAGAGAAGTTTGCTTTTCAAAACTAAGAGCAGTTTGCAACATTAATGTTACAAAAGTGAATACACTATCAGATTTTGAAATTTGAAAGTTGCTGTTAGCTTTTGGGTATATGAGATTGTGTAGCTTTTGGGTATATGAGATTGTGTTGATCAAACTGTATTTTAACATAGTATTTGGCACTCTGATTGCCATGAAAAAGTTAAGATTAGATCTGCACAAGTTTTATCTTTTAAAAAATTTCATGATTCCCCACACTCTTTTGAGAGAAGAGAAAAACAGAATAGTGAAAGTAGATTCTTTTCATTATCAAATCATTTTCTTGGCCTATTTTATGTCAAATTGAGGTAAGAAAAATGACTTATTTAAAAAAAAATGTTTTTTATTGACTTTTTTTAGAACGAGAGGAAGGGAAAGGGAGAAACAACAAATAAATACTGCCTCCTTCAGGCCCCCTACAGGGAATTAAGCCTGAAACCTGTGCATATGCCCTGACCATGAATCTAACCAGTGACTTCTCTGTGCAGAGATGACACTCAACTAACTGAGCCACACCAGCCAGAACCGAGGTCGGCAAACTGCATCTTGTGAGCCACATGCGGCTCTTTGGCCCCTTGAGTGTGGCTCTTCCACAAAATACCACGGCCTGAGCGAGTCTATTTTGAAGAAGTGACATTAGAAGAAGTTTAAGTTTAAAAAATTTGGCTCTCAAAAGAAATTTCAATCGTTGTACCATTGATATTTGGCTCTGCTGACTAATGAGTTTGCCAATCACTGAGCCAGAACAAGTCTCTTAAAAAAAAAAAAAAAAAAAAAAAAAAAAAAAAATATATATATATATATATATATATATATATATATATATATATATATATATATATAAAATTGATTTTTTACAGATAGGAAGGGAGAGGGATAGAGAGCTAGAAACATCGATCAGCTGCCTCCTGCACCCCCACAACTGGGGATGTGTCCACAACCCAGGTACATGCCCTTGACCGGAATTGAACTTGGGACTCTTCAGTCTGCAGGCCGATGCTCTATCCACTGAGCCAAACCGGTTTCAGCACAAGTCTCTTTTTTTTAAAGCGGAGAGAAACTTAGTTTATCTTAGTTTGGCCTTTGTCTTTTCCCAATTTACTCTCATGAAACCTCTTTAGATCCTGGGGCTGACAGGAAATGGCTTTGGAAGTGATGCCCTTGTTCCTCAGAAGAAACAGTTATCCCCATGGAAAGCCTGTGTTAGGCCCTGTGCCTAGGTGGGTGGTCACTGACAGTAAAGCTGTTTTGCATGACAGCATTGCTAAATACTTACAGTCTGAAGGAAGCTTTTGCTTTGCTTGTTGCCATTTTTCTTAATTTGTCAAAGTTAGGATTTTAAAAACTTCAGGTGACTAATCATCTTTTACAAACTTTCAGATGACTGACCCAGTCACGTTAAATGTAGGTGGACACTTGTACACAACGTCTCTCACCACACTGACCCGATACCCGGATTCCATGCTTGGAGCTATGTTTGGGGGGGACTTCCCCACGGCTCGAGACCCTCAAGGCAATTACTTCATCGATCGAGATGGCCCTCTTTTCAGATATGTCCTCAACTTCTTAAGAACTTCGGAGTTGACCTTACCCCTGGATTTTAAGGAGTTTGATCTGCTTCGAAAAGAAGCAGACTTTTATCAGATTGAGCCCTTGATTCAGTGTCTCAATGACCCGAAGCCTTTGTATCCTATGGATACCTTTGAAGAAGTTGTGGAATTATCAAGTACTCGGAAGCTTTCTAAGTACTCCAATCCAGTAGCTGTCATCATTACCCAGTTAACCATCACCACCAAGGTCCATTCATTGTTGGAAGGGATCTCAAACTATTTTACCAAGTGGAATAAGCACATGATGGACACCAGGGACTGCCAGGTCTCCTTCACCTTTGGGCCCTGTGATTATCACCAGGAAGTGTCTCTCCGGGTCCACCTGATGGAATACATCACAAAGCAGGGCTTCACGATCCGCAACACCCGGGTGCATCACATGAGCGAGCGGGCCAATGAGAACACCGTGGAGCACAACTGGACTTTCTGTAGGCTGGCCCGGAAGACGGACGACTGATCTCCATCCCGGGGGAATTCCTGGACACGGACTCTCCAGGAGATGGAAGAGACTGATTTTTTTTTTTTTGTGGGATTTAAGAAAAGATTATTATTATTATTTTTTGGTATTTATTTGAAGGCATTGAGAAGCAGAAGGAAGTTTGTGCTTTAGTGGATTCCTCTATGTTTATTCCCTTCACCCTGAGTATGCATGTGCCTGTTCAGAGCCTCCAGATAACTTTTTTATAAAAAGAAATTTGAAAATTATTATGGTATATAATCAACCCTTAACAGAGCTTTTTTTTTTTTATTACAGTGCTAAAATTATTTGATTAAATGGTCCCTAACTCAACTAGAGGCTCAAAAATATAGAAATGAAAGAATAAACAGAGTGAGTACTCCTGATGCTTTTGACAAAACATCAAAACACCATCTACGTGACCTAGTTTCCAAACCAATAAGCAGTATTGTAATATTAAAAGAAAACTGTTCCTATTATTAAAAAGTACTTGTTAAGTACTGCTTTTTACAGTTATGACAACTGTTTCTTTCTATGCATATAAATCAAGCAACCAAATATCTGTAGCCATGGAAATGTCTGACTAGAAATATTTATATTGGATTCTGAATACAAAATGTCCCTGTGGTAGGAATCTTACTTCTTATGCCTGGTGCAGTATAATCCCCAAGTGTACTGTCTACCAGAAAAAAACTAATAAAAAATGAAATAGAAAAATTAGGTTTATATTTATTGACTATTGTTAAGGGGAAAATCGTATTTCTTGTCTCTAAAGTATGCATTGTTTGTTTTATGTACCAACATACACTGCACCGCCAAAGCACACTTGTATTTGACTCAAGAGGACTCAGCGGTACCTTCAGATGCAGTTTATAGAATTCTGTTGTGTTATTAAGCAGGACTAGATGGAAGTACAATTTGAACAGTGAACACACAGTTTGACAGATTTTATCAAGTAGGAATTACGTTGAAGATTAAAGATTTTTGTTCAATAAGCCACCATTTGTTACAGCTCTGAATGTGACCCTTATCCGAGCTTTGATTTGAGTCTTAGAACAAACTGACTCTTCAGCCACTTTATTCTCTTATACAGGGGAATCTCGGTGCTCAAACTTAGTTCATTCCAGGAGGCTAGTTGGGGAGCAATTTGTTTGAAAACCAAATCATTTTTCCCCATTAGAAATAATGTAAATTGAATTAGTTTGTTTCAGACCACTATAAGCTAAACACATGAGACTCTTCACAGCACAATTTCCTGTAATGTTAACTTGAGTTTTTGCCATAAACTGACCCACACTCACTCATTCTCTCCTCTGTTTGTCACTGAGAGACGCATGACTGATCACACAGGTATTAGCATGAAAGGGTTGTTGGGTTGGAGCCAAAGTTTTATTTGACAGCCCAGATATTCTGTAAACAGCTTGGTCGAGAACCCAGTTATTCAAGATGGGAGGTGTTTCAGAACCAAGGTTTTGACCATATATGGTAACCCACAGATTATTTTATTATTCAAGTTAATTCTATATCTGAAGAGAGGAAATAAGCTGCAGTGAACGGAGGATTTGGAACAGGTATGTGTATTTGTTTCTCAATAGTCTTTATCGTGCATACTTCATTCGATTCTGTTTCCTAGAAATTACTCACAGGAAGGTTTATGTTAACTATAATGAGGGAGACTTCCTGGTTTGTTGGAAAGCCTTCTAAGAGGAAGTGTGATGCCTTCCCTGTTCTGTGGAAGGAACTGTTCTAGGGCTGTGTGTTCTCCGGGCAGGCCATTCCTCTTCCTCTGAGATCCTGCCTCTGAAAGGAGGGTGAAAACACCTTCTTCCGTGTTTGCCCATGTCTCTGAAAATTCACCTTAAGATTTGACAAATGACCAACATTCACAAACCTGTAATCACCCCATCTTCACCGTCCTCAAGCTAACATTCCTTCATGTTATGGACAGGTTGCTGTGGTTTCAATAAACGTACTAATATGAAGTTATCTTTTTTAGGAAAATGTCTCCGGCTTCAGATTGCTTAGTGGTTACCCAAGACAAAACCAAGCCAGCCACTCATGTGATGTTAAGTTAGCTGAGGTGACCGTGAGAAAAAATGATTTGGTTTGAAAACAGGTCATGGAAAAGGGAATAATGTTTGGCCTTCCAAGGTTTTAAAAGTTAAAAACTTTTGAGGTCTCTTCTTCGTTCAGTTTACCGGAGATAAGTTTGCTTTTGGTGAATTTTCACAGATTTGTTAATTATTAACAAAAATGATTACTTTTATGGGTAAATTAGGAAAAATAGCTATCTGAGAGATTTTGCAATTTTATTTGGGCATTTAATTTTGAGTGTTTTATTTGCTGAGGCAACTGAAAATGTAGCTTGAGTATATTTGGGTAATTTGAGATGATTATGTCTTTTATAAGTTTTAATTTTCTATGGAAAGGTTGATTTTTTAAAATACTTAGTTGTAGTCTTAGGGCTGTACATTTTATTTAGATTACCACAAGTATAGTCACTTTTGGAGAAGGATTGTGTGTGTGCATGTGTGTGTCCTTTTGAAGTTTAAACCCTCAGATAAATATGAGCTATAGGCACAAATGATAACTAACGAGTCTATTGGATTTTGCTAGATCAAAAACAGAACCCTGGAACTTAACAAAATAGATGCTACAATTGTATAGTACTATTGTGTTTTATTGTAGGAAATGCCAAACATATTGAGAAGAGAATTGTTTAAACAGCATTGTACCCATTGACCAACATCCACAACTGTTCTCTTTCCTTTTTTTTCTCTCATGGATTTTGAAGTAAATCAGATGTTTCACTCACTTCAGACGGTCTCTCTGGAAGATAATGACTCTCTTTAAAAAATACATACACATATGCTCTTTAAAGTTCTAATGCCATATCTGCCATACTACCATTATCACATAGTGGTGCTTCTTGAATGCTGTTGATTATTTCATAGCTTGGATCTCCAACTTTGTAAGAGTGGTCTTAGATATTTCTGGTAGGCAGGGTTCCCCTGTTATAGAAAGAAGTGCATCAGTCACACAGAATATTTCTGCTAGGATTAATAACTTCAAATTAATTTTTTTTGTTTCAAAATTAACATTACGTAAGATTAATTTTGAAAATTATTTTAAAAATTCATTTTGTGTGAACATATGGAGAAACATTTTTTCCCAAAGGGCATCCTTCGTTTTCTCCAGCAGATTTTAAATTGTGGGTGCAGGTGGCCAATTAAAAGACACAGTTATCATTTGCTGTTGGAATTTAACACAAATAAAAGGCTCGGCTCTCTGAGGCTCTTTGAGATGGGACATTAACCGTAAAAGAATCAGAAGGTGGAATCAGGTAAGCAATGTAATTCGTCACAATGGGCTCTCCCTACTATTTTCTGATGTTTTGATTTGTTCCTTCACAGCTCTCTTATCCCTGTAACATCTACTTGTGTCTTGTTTGCCTGTCTCGGTTAAGCTGTAAGCCCCTTGAATGACTCTTGATCTTCGATGTGTCCTTAGTACCTATAATAGAATAGTTTCTGGCATATAGCGTATGCTCAGCTGAATGATTGGATTAACCAGTAGGTGTGTTGAAGGCATCTAGCAACTACTTGGGCAGACTTTTACAATAGAAGAATTGGGGGAAATAGGATTCTTGTTGTGAAATTATTCCCCAATGTTTCCTCCGCTGCTTGCATCTGTAGGGAATCACTGATATGAGTTCATGTGGGGAGGGGAAGCAGCCTTTTGCTGCTCACTTTGGAAAGGCTGGCTTGAAATGACCAGATCAGGGGAAAAAAAAAAAAAAAAAAGCCAAAAAATTAGACATCCCAGCTCAAATAAGCCTCGGAGAGCAGATCACAGTCTCCACCTGCCCAGACAGAAGAGAGACTAGCTGAGGCCTCTAAGACACTTAGCACCTTTCTTTCGATAGAAAATGTCAGTGAAATATATTCTCATTTGTCTGCAAGGTCTGTTTTTACATAGCTGTTGTTTTAGTTCATTTGAAATTCCCGGAGTGAACCTTTCTCTACTAGTGCCAATGAAAACCGCCTCTTCTCGCAGTTTCAGAATTATCTACAGCAGATTAAAAAATTGCACCTTAGAAGTGCCGTTTTGCTGCTCTCTAGAGGAGCCAGAAATGTAAGATGATGTGACTGTATATTAGCAGTCAACCGGTATAATTTTAACTAATTGGAAGCTGTTCTCCAATGTCATTTATAATCTCAGTTCCTAAACTGCTTGCTGCACCTGTCACCTTTTTAGCAGCGTAAGTGAAGCCAGGATGGCAACAGGGTGCAGCACTGTGGATGCAGCAGGTTCCTTCGTCTCCCTGTGGGTCATAGAACCACGTTAATTATTCCGTAAATGCAGTGTCTGCTGTGTGATAGGTCCTGGAGTTCGGAAGGTGAAGGCTCCATCCTTGTTCACAGTGAAGTGTCAGGTGACAGAAAAGGGAAAGGAATGGGATGAAGTGCATCAACTGTTTTTTTAAGGATATCGTTTTTTAAATATATTTTTATTTCAGAGAGGGAGAGAGAGAATCATTGAGAATCATTGATTGGCTCCCTCCTGCACCTCTTGCCCTTACTGGGGATCAGGCCTACAACCTGGGCACAAGCCCTGACTGGGAATCGAACCTTGACCTCCTCGTTCATAAATTGTCACTCAACCACTGAGCTACGCCAGCCGGGCTTATCAAGTCTGTTGATGCTGTGGGTTGGTCATGCCCCTCATTTAGATAAGCCTGTCCTCATGTAATATCCAGATTAGACTCTTTTAGAAATAATAAGGAAGCCCCCTATGTGCTTTAGTGACGTGGAGGAGTCGGGAGAACTGGCATGTTTCCTTGTTGCTAGTAAAACAGGTTTGAGGAGGTGACGTCATCATCTCCTGACAGGTGTCACAGCGGGCAGGCTTTCCCTGGAGCCCAGAGGGCATGCACTTATGCTGAGACCACAGGGCTCTTCTGGAGTGGGGGACTGCTGCAGGTTTATGCTGGGATTTAG